CATCTTTTAATTTCATGGCTGCAGTCTCCGTCTGCGGTGATCTTGGTTCCCAAATAAAAGAAGTCTGTTACTGCTCCATTTCTACTCCTTCTATTTGCCAGGAATTAATGGGTCCAGATGCCATGATCTTAGTTTTTTTATGCCCCATCAACTGGGGACAGTATGGTACTCATGTCGACAACATTAATTGGAAAGTGAAGAATCCTGACAGAATTTGGCACTTATTCTAGGAAAGAATACTTACAGATAAATTATTCCAAAACCAAGGTGGTAGTATTTGCTAAAAGACCAAAGAGACATAGATGGGCACTAGATGGTAAGGAGATAGAACAGGTGAGATCATTTGGGTATCTAGTTTACTGAAACATTATCATGGAAAACACACATAGCATGAACAAGAGCAACAGCCATGAAATCAGTGAGAGCCATTTGCTTCTTCTATTCAAGAGGAGTACGCTTAGTACAGCCTGTGCTTAAGATCTTCCAGGGGAAAACAATCTCACAGTTGATGTTTGGGGCCTCAATTTGGGGTTTCAATAAACTAGAAGAATTAGAAGTGGTCCAGAATAAATTTGTGAGATCAATCTTAGCCTTACCCCCATGTATACCAGCAGCAATGTTGAGACTAGAAGTGGGCCTTCCGTCAATTAATATAAGGGAAAAGAAAGCAATAATCTTATATTATAGGAGACTAGTCCTCATGCCCAATACTTATTTGGCAATACAATGCCTCCACAAACAATTTAACAGTAACAGATGGGTGAATTTGTGTCTAAAATTATTCTCTCAGTTATTGCTAGATCAGGAACTGTTGAGTGACATAAGTTATCATACACTATTGAGGGACTATTTATTTTTTAAAGATTTTAGACAAGATAGAGAGCATGTATGTAAACTTAAGTTGACCAAGTGGTATCGATCTTTTAAAGATGGACAAGGAATGTCATATTATTTACAATCTCTTACATCCCATTCCCTGAGACAAGCTTTCGCAGAACTATGCTTTCAAACAAGGCCAATAGCCTATTTGGATGGAAGATATACAGGATTACCAACTATACACCGTTTATGCATTGAAAGATGGACAGGTGGAAGATCTGATCCATTACTTATTACATTGCAAATTATATTGGGAACCTAGAGCCAGATTCATCATGCCTTTGTTAATCCATCTGAATCAGTCTAGTTTAGAAGAAAAAAATTATTTTCTGTTAACAAATGAACATGTAACAAAACAAGATGAACATGTAACAAAACAAGTTGCATTGTTTGCAATGGCCACAAGGAAGATAAGAAAGCAGATGTTTACAAATGGTGTTGTTAATGTTAGAGGGGATGTATTGAACTGATACAGATTGTTGTAATTTTATATTAATTTTGCTAAAAGCTATGGTTGCAAATAAATGTATAAATAAAAAAATAAAAAATATATTTTCATTGTTGTTGGGTTTTTTAAATTTTTCCTCTTGGTTTTCTTTTACACAGAGCATTCACTATTTTATGGAACAAATATTTCCTTTTTTCTAGTTTAACTGTTATAATAATGAAATTTTAAATATTAAAAAGGAATACTTTTTCATGTAATGATAAATCATTTTTTTCTCTGACATTTCAAGTTGCCAATCAGCCAATTGTCCAAAAAGTAAAATTGTATTTTGTTGGGCAATCAACATTTAAAGCAATTAGTAAACTCTTAGCTTTTGCTTGCCCTTTCAAATTTTGTCTTAATAGCACCTGACTGAAGACCAGTCTTTTTAAAAGTAATATTATTATTTGGTTTGTTATGTTTAATGTTTCTGCCCCAAAATGTGGACATGTCAACAATTTTACACTTTTTTTTTTTTTTGAGACACTTGAAACTATATTCTCGTGTAAGGTAAGTACTATCTAATGTTAGGTAGTTGCCAGGCAGTGAATAAAACCACTACATTTTCCCCCTTGATTTAATTTCTAATATTCTTTCTCTCTAATGAAAGCAGAGATGGTAACTGCATGATTTATCAATTAATATATTATACTTTGAGTGCTATGGATGGACAGGAAGATTTTCTTAGGAATTATTTTTTATTAAAAATAAAAAAACAGGTTTTATCATTGGATCTCCATTGTCTTGACTAGTTTGGATGTTTTTTTATACTGAAACTCTGATACCAAAAGATTGAGTCAGAAAACAGCATGATGTTTGCTGTTCTGCAAGATTCCTAGTTGCCTCCCTGGTAGATTTCAAAATAAAAGAACCACAGGTTGGCTCTCTTAACTTTTAATCTCCTAGCTTTCCAGGCAAATACTTGAAATGAAAGCAGTCCTTATATATTATAGGAATGTTACAGCAGCCCACAGAAAATTCTAACTGTATAAAGCAAAATAATTGCATTGTGCAAACCAAAATCCTTGTAGCTCATGATACTTCCAGGTGATCTGCATCTGCATAATTTAAAAGGTAATGTGATCATGTCTTCTTTGTGGAAAGAAAGCAGGTATGAAAAGTGATGGGAGAGTCTAGGGAGGGTTACAGTAGATAATAATGTCTGAGCTCATGTACTGTAGTCCGTATCCTGACTCTGTAATACACACACACACACACACAGTTAGGCAGATTATGTGCTTAGTTGCCATGCTGCACTACATTTCCCAGGGAAAGGCACAAAGAGAAGGGCATGATAACTGCTATATTTTCTCAAAATCTGCATACAGTCCAACTATCCCTAATTTTTATATATACAGAAATGGCATACCTGTTGCCCTTTGGATATTACTGAATTTTTAAGTACAAGCATTATTTACCATTGGCCATGCTGGCTGAGGCTGCTATTAGCTGTTCTTCAGCAATATATGGAAAGTCACCAGTCCAAGTCTAATAAAATCCAAATTATGTTGTTAGAAAAGAGCAATATTATGAAGAAATGTGGACATTCTCAAACTAGGAGAAAGTGGGAGAAGCAGTCCGGCATACTGAACATTACTCATGACTGCAGAAGAGGATTTGTGTGTTGACCCTTCTTCCATTTCACATTTTCAGTCTATTATAGTTATAGAAAGAAGAGGTCAGGCAAATGACAATATGGATTAATTGAGGGAAGGAAGAATGCCCTGGGGTCAGGTGAGTTGGAAAATGGAGCCTATCTATAATGATGGAAGCAAGAGAGAAATTCTATTTTGCTGTTCTGTGAATAACCTGGGATTGCAAAAAGGGGAGTCAAGACATGCAGAGGGTATACAAGCTGGATCTCTGCATGAAAGAGTTTGCTGTGGTATGACTGGTATATTCTAGGGTAGATAGGCTTGTTGGGTTAGCACCAGAATGAGAATAAGGCTTGGGTACATAATTCATACATATATATACTGACTTAGGGTGGGATGAATGTGTGCTTGTGTGTCAATCACAGAATGAAAGAAAATGGTCTAGTTCCCTAGATTTTTTTCCTGCCTCTCTAAAATTGTAAAGGAGAAGGGAACAGAAGTCTTTATTGCTGTATACTTCATATCTAACACAGTGGAACTAAGATTTTCTTAAATATCATAAATATGACTCAAACTCTCCCCCTTTCATTTGTCTCTCTCTGTCTCAAGGTTCGCTTCTCTTATATGCGGATGAAATATCTCTTCTTCTCTTGGCTAGGAGTATTTATTGGCAGCTGGATTATTTATGTTCAGTACTCATCTTACACAGAACTTTGCAGAGGGCATGACTGCAAGAAAATAATAGTAAGTATATTTTTTTAAAAAAATAATATTTGTTAGTACTCCCAACTGGCTTTTCCACCTTTAGTATTTACTTATAAATTAAATATGAGATAAATGATATGAAACAATTAAATATCTTTTGCTGTTGCACCTGTCTAATAAGGTATAGCAATAGTTTATGTTCTTGGTTTTTGTTTCGTCATGAGAAACAGTATTAGAAAAAAATATTTGATGTAGTTTAGTTATTAAAATTATCAATCCCAGTTCACTGGAGAGGAAAGAAATAGTTTATGTATTGTTTAGGAAATATGTGCAGGAATACAACAGAGAACTAGTGAATATAGACTTTAAGAAGGTATATGATAAAAATCACTGAGTTTGCTGATAGTGAAAAAATGTGGCAATTCTCACATGGAGGTTTTTTGTTCAATTTTTCCAGTGTGATAAATACAAAAGTGGGGTTATTGATGGATCAGCATGTAGTAGCCTGTGTACAAGACAAACACTTTATTTCAGAAAATGTTTGTCAACACAACCCAACAACCAGGTATGATTACTCTGATTTATTTTTTATTTCAGAAAAAAAAGTATGAAATGATAATACTATGTAACTTTATCTTAAAACAACATTTCTATTGAAGATAGATGCGAATGGATTCATGCATTAAAAATAAACAAAACTACAGACAAGCAGTTATTGATGCCTTCTAAAATTGGACCCACCTAAATATTGCTGCAAACATAGACATTCTAGTTATGCTGAAGTATATTGGTTTGTAACTGTCATAGAAAACAAAACTGTTAAAAAACCCAAAACCAACATTGATTCTGCCTAGTTATTTATAGAATCTATGAAATGTTGCTGGTATCATTTTGTGGTAATGGAAGAATTGACTTAATCAAGTATTTTATAGTGTTATGGAGGGAGAATGTTAGGCATGAAGTTTAAAAATATCCTACCACACTGTTGTTTTCCCTTCTCATATTTCCCCCGATTTTCTTTTTCCCAGCATCCATAATTCTCTTCTTCCCTTCACCCTGCAAGACATAGTAGGGTTCTGGACTATGAAGAAAAGGAGGTGCCTTTTGTGTTGACTTCTCCTAAGATTATCTTCCTCATCATTTTTAGAGAGCACCAAGAATTTGACAAAGCACCTATTCAAGGCTAGCAACAGCACAGAATAGGAGTGCCTCTTGTACAAGGATTGAAATATTTGGCTTTGGAGGAGGTTTTAAGGAAGGTTAAGAGAAAAAATGTACATCTTAAGCATGTAGAGATTTCAGTCATCCATTTCATTCTTTAAATCCCACTACCCAAATTATTTTTAAAAGGCTGAAAATATCAGCCCCATCTGCCCTAGTGATGTTATGACAAATTAATTTGCCCCTGTCTCCTACACAGAAGACTTAAAGTAAATGTAGCCCCCCAGCCTAGAAAGCTTACCAGACTATATTAAGGGTTGCATTCATCACAACATTTTGAGGCTTGCAACATCATCTCCTACAAAGAGGCTTGATAAAATGACCTTTAGGGAGAATTGTCAAATAGGACAGCATGTAAGGACCCAATTCAGCTAGCTGTGGGGTTTTTTTTAATGAATCTCACTGTTTAGTCACACCTGACTTTTAAGCTGGATCAACATCAGATTTTCAATTAGAACCTGTACTAAAATAATTTATAGCAGTTTTATTAATAAAGCTGCATTCAAGAAATGTCTAACTTTGCTGTTATTAATTAGTGCTATATATCAGCTGTGAGAGAAAAGTATATTAAGTAGTGATTTAAAGTACATGTCAAAAATGTACAATGTATGAATTTTAAATGTTTACCAGCCATGAGTTACTAAATGCAGAAAATTACATAATATCCTTTATCTAATACATTTTGCTTTTCCTCATTACATATCATGCAAAAATGTATGTATTGTTAAAGGTGATTGATCATAACTGATGGATGTTAATGTTCTAAAAGTACCGTCATATCACTATACAACCATCTTGGATAGAGATTATATTTGTCCAATGGTCTTTTATTTCTATCACTGTAAAAACAGTGTAAAGAAGCTGATATCACTGTAATGAAATGCATTAAAATATTTCTGTATAAAGTAGTTCAAATGATGCTATGAACTTTAAATTCCCATTTTACCTGTTCATGACACTGTCTTCAGGCTGCCTTGTTTCAATACTTTTAAAGAGGATATTAGCATAGGTCTGCTTTTTACATAAACATAGCATATAAGTTGGCTGGTGTGGGTCTTCCGGGCTGTGTGGCCGTGTTCTGGAAGGTTTGTTTCCTAACGTTTCG